GAATATCAATCTAACTAACTTCATAATATGCATCAAAAAAAGGATGTGGCCATTGTTAAAAGAATAAAATAGATTGTAAAACCTATCTTACCATTACAAACGCAATCTCTAACACCAAGAGGCCGACAAAAGTCCTCATTTAATCTACAAAACAACTACAAGCTATCCACATTATATATGAAAATCTTTAAGAATGCTTGATAAGCAATGAGTTACTAGTCAACTAAACAACTAGATCACCTTATGCTTCTCCTCCAGCGAAGCTGGGTGAAAGAAGTCAGGAGACTGATCATACAAAACCGTAGCACTATAAAATTAAGAAATAAACATCAGATTGCTTCACAGTTCACAGCAAATATTTTATGTTATAGAAACAATATATTTGAACCTTTAGCTGACTCTCTTACTTAATTCCCCAGTTTTGAGCCAATTCATGCTGCATTGCTCTTGTGGTGAGACCCGATCTTTTTGTGTGTGTATAAAAGTTATTTATCTCATGTAAAATGAGATAAACATAACCCATAATTATAATAGTTAAATTATTTTTTTTCACTCAGTCAGCCACATTAGCCGACAATTTTTTGAGGAATGAAAAAATAAAATAGTTTTCATATTATAATTAGGGCTTTGTTAGTCTCATTTTACATATGATAGGTAATAAAAAAAATTTATATGTAACTTCAGTGTACAAGAATTTTATATTAACATCCAATAAGATTTTGACTCATTATTATTAATTTTTTATTTTAATTAATAAAAACATGATATGATACAATAGCAAATAATGATATATCAAATATTAACAAATGCCCAAATATTTTATACAAATATCAAATACCAAATACCAATTAAAAGGATTTGATATTTGTTAATATTTTTGATACAATTTTTAAAAAAAGTTAAAAAAATGCAGAGAGACATACATCCAACATGCCGCATCTAAAATTTTTGATTTTTTAATTCAGGAATAAACAAAAAATCTAAAAGGTTTTGGATATAAAAGTTGGCAAATGTTGGGTGTTGATTGTTAGAGAAAAGGAAATGGGGGACAGAAACAGAAAGCAAGCGACAAAAGAAAATTAAAATATCAAATCCTTTTAATTGGTATTTGACATTTGCAATTGCGGAGCCACATGTAGTAATGTAAGTGTGACTTCGGTTTAGGTTAAATTTTAATAAATTGTATTTAATATATATAATTATTTAATTAATTATAATTTGGCACGAATTAAAATTATAATTTGGCCCGGGTTACAATTTGTAATTTGACCTTGTGTAAAATTTAAACTATTTTTGGTGAAAGATTTGGGAAAGTTATATTAGATTATGTGTCTAATTTTTATTTGTATAAAAATATATATTAATTTTTAGTAAAATTAATAAATATTCAATAAAATTATAACTCTTCTTAATACTACTTGCTTAGGTATTTTGTATTTAATATAATTTAAATATATTTAATATGAACTAATTAAAATTAAAAAAATAATATACATATAATTTTTTAGTCCGAACTCAAATTGGAACCTGATTCCACCACTGGATATTTGTATAAAATATTTGAGCATTTGTTAATATTTGATATATCATTATTTGCTATTGTATCGTATCATGTTTTTATGGTTATGTTGCCTAGCTATTTAATTTTCCTACTTTTATTATTTTTTTATCACCTTCGATCAAATTTAAATTAACGATTGAAAGAAAGAGAAATAATAAGGTGAGAAAAAGAAAGAAATAAAAACAAAAACAAAAAATTATTATATATGAGATTGTTGATTTAAATTGGATCAAACAGTGATAAAAAAAGTAATAAAGAAATTTAGTATCCTGATAGATTTGCAAAGCTAACGTGTGTGTCTCAATACGATCGATATCTACAACAACGCGTTGGCAATAGTATCCTGATAGATTTATTTAGGTCAAAATTAATAGTATCCTGATAGATTTATTTAGGTAAAAATTAATAGTATCCTGATAGATTTATTTAGGTCAAAATTAATAGTATCCTGATAGATTTATTTAGGTAAAAATTAATAGTATCCTGATAGATTTATTTAGGTCTAAATTAATAGTATCCTGATAGATTTATTTAAGTCAAAATCAATAGTATCCTGATAGATTTATTTAGGTAAAAATTAATAGTATCCTGATAGATTTATTTAGGTCTAAATTAATAGTATCCTGATAGATTTATTTAGGTCAAAATTTTGAAATATAGACCTACATAGGTCAAAAAGCCCAATACCGAATTCTAAAACAATTTTTATTAGAATATCCTGATAGATTTATTTAGGTCAAAATTTTGAAATATAGACCTATATAGGTCAAAAAGCCCAATACCGAATTCTAAAACAATTTTTATAAATTCTAATCGAACGGCACAGCACAGCACAACACATGAATTCTTTGATTAAAATTTCAATCCCATACATTGGCTTAAACTGATTCTAGGGTTTCTGCACCAAAACTCTGCGTTTCATTGAATTTCATTGATTTTCAATGGGCAAAAAGAAAGCAAAGGATCCGCAACAAACCCCTCAAAGCAATGGACTCCGTTTCATCTCTTTTATTTTCAACACGCTCTTTGGCAACACGCTCTTTGCCACCGCTTCTCTATTTTCCGATTTCAACCCCTTTCGTAGAAAGCCTCAACAACATGCTTCGGTTTCTTACCCAACCATTCCCTCTCAAAGCCCTAACAATGGCGGCTCCGGGAGCCACGATTCCGGCGAAGATAAAAAGAGGAAGAGGAAGAATAACAAGGAGGAAAGACCCATTCTTGATTCGGATTCCGTAACTGAAAGAAGAGTAAACTTCGGAGAAGAAGAGTAAATTTGGGTACGCGGTTGTAATCGAAGGTGAAAGGGAAAGGGGAAAAGGGAAGAAGGAGTGGGAGGAGAAGAATAACATAATTTGGGTACGCAAACAAAAAAAAAAGGGCGAGGTTGTAATCGAAGGTGAGGAGGGAAAGATGAAGGAGAAGAAGAGGAAAAGGGAAGAGCTTGAGAAAGAGTGGGAGGAGAAGAAGTATGGTGTGGTGGTGGAAGGAGAGGAAGATGAAAAGGAAAGGTTTGGGAATAAAACTCTTGAGAGCAAGAGGAAGATGATATATAACCCAGCTGATATGTTGGTTTCAAAGGAAGGTTATGATGACGAGGATAAGCTTTTGAGGACTATTTTAGTTGGGAATTTGCCTCTCAAGTTGAAAAAGAAGACTTTGTTGAAGGAGTTTAAGAAATTTGGTGAGGTTGAGTCTCTGGTGACTCGTTCTGTTCCAATACAAGATGTAGGTTTTCTTTTTGTTGAATGTTTGCTTTCGTTTGGTACTCTTTAAGGCTTCGATATATTTTTATTTTTTTGGGTGCTAAATTTATGTTTGTTACTTTTCTTGATGAACCAGACCAAAAAACCTAGGAAGGGAGCCATCCATTCGAAGAAAATAAATGATTCCGCTGATAGGTAATGGGTCTGAATTGAACAATTATCGAATTGCAACTTCCTGTGATTATTGTTAATTGCTTGCAGAGAGAATGCTGTTATTTTTTATTTTTTTGTCATTTTAGTGTGATTTTATGGATTCAATATCAAGTAAGCCTGCTCGTTTTGGGCTTGGAGAAATTATTCTGCTTTGATTTAATGCTTAGATTTTATATTTTCCAATGGTCTTAAGTGACTTGCAGACAGTCTGATAAGAATACATTCATTTTCATGCATAGGAAGCCTTTTTCAGGCATTTCTAATTGACAAATATTGTGTTTTGCAGTGTTCACGCATACATTGTTTTCAAGACAGAGGAATCTGCTCAGGCTTCTTTGTCCCACAACATGACTGTGGTATGCCCTTGTTCCTCTGAGTTGGGTTGGATCAAATATGGTGTTTGCTTTGTATTTTTGGTGAAGACTGCAGTTGACAGTTTTCTAATACTATTGTTTAATTATCTGACTGTAGGTTGAAGGAAATCACATTCGTGTTGATAGGGCTTGCCCACCCCGCAAGAAACATAAAGTGAAGATTGCTTCGCTTTATGATAACAAGAGAACTGTTTTTGTGGGCAACCTCCCATTTGATGTTAAGGTGTGTTTCCAATCAATGGATTTATTTTTGCGGTCACATAACCACATCATTTCTGTGTGTGTATTGTCTAATGGATCTCACGTATCTTTTTGTGTAGGATGAAGAACTATATCAGTTATTTTGTGGTATATCCAACCTGGAATCAAGTATAGAAGCTGTTAGAGTCATTAGAGATCCTCATCTTAATGTTGGAAAGGGTATTGCCTATGTGCTGTTTAAAACAAGGGTATGCTGCTTTGGTGCCAGATTAGTTATGCATTTTGATAAAATTTCTTACTTTGTGCTCTTTTACATTTTTAGCTCAAACATGTTATAATTCATCTTGTCATGTTTTTCCCTTTCGGTGGTAAAACTAAAGGGCTGTTTGTGGCTGATAAGCCCATGAAGACCTCGTTTTGTTACGTAGAAACCAACTTATTTGTGTGATTACTTTTAGAAATGCATGTTATCTATTTATGAAAAGATATATTTTGTGATATAAATATAATCTAGAACATTAGGATTGAAATGGGCGGTTGCTAGTGTAGGGTTTGTTTACTTTGGTGTAGATTGGCTGCTTCGTTTATTGTATTGTGTCTTTTTGTGTAACTAGGTACATGTTATTTTTGGAAGTTGCTTCTTTCATTCAGAATATAAGTCGTTAGAGACTGATATGTATAGGACTGAATTTCTGTAATGGTCGAGTGAAGCTGCATATCACACTTTTTAAGTCCACATGTGGGCTTGAAAATCTGATTCAGGTCCTGGGTACCAATGTCTGGCTATTTCAGTCCACATTGTTGAAAACTCTCTCAGATTTGACAATACTTTACCTTTAGATTTAAGAATGATGCCTCTAGGACATTTTCTTATGATGAAGAAACCTTTTAAACTGCGAAATTAGTGATGGTGCACTTGCAGTGCATGGGCTGAAACCGCTGGAACCATTAGTTCTTTCTTTATTCTGTATTGGGAATAAATTCTACTTGCTTTATGGTGACTTTATATATATAAATATATAACGTGTTTTTTAATTTCTAAGCTAATGGTTGCAAAATGATTTTCCTTTTCTTTTTCATTTGGGTTCTTTCACCTCCGACCCCCACTAATTTGAGATAAATTTGTTTTTGATGTTGATGTTGGAGGACTTTTTTTTCTATCTACCATTATACAGAAGGTTTGGTATTAAAGTTGTGCCTGTGTATTCTTGCTCCTCAGTGCTGGACTGTTTGTAAATACTGCACGTATTGTTTAAAATTTGATTGTACAATTAAGAGAAAAAAATTCCATGAGAAAAACTGGTTACTAATTTCCAAATAAGCATGAATTTCAAACTGGTTAAATGAGAAAAACTACTGACTTGTGATATTTTTTATGCAATTAATTATTCTTTGCTTTGCATAATGAATTCCTGAAGGTATTACTGGCATAAAACCATATGGTATTGATATGCAAATTGGTGTTTGACTGGATCTAATTTGAGACATCTTAGATTGTTATCATCAAAGGAAATGTTATCACGTGCAAAAAGTGGCATAAAGAATGTTCAAAAACTTCTTTCCAAGTCTTATCACCAGGAATTCTGTCTATAAATATTTATTAAAGTTGTGTCTTGTAAATGCAGGAAGCTGCTAATTTTGCTGTTAAGAAACGGAGCTTGAAGCTTCGAGACCGAAAGTTGAAAATCTGTCATGCGAGAATCTGTCGTGCTAAAGCGGATGCCACCCCATCTAAAAGGCCAAACCCATCACCAGCTCCTAGTACCCCTGCAAAGAAGTTGGCTGTGAAAAGGCCAAACCCATCACCAGCTCCTAGTACCCCTGCAAAGAAGTTGGCTGTGAAAAGGCCAAACCCATCGCCAGCTCCTAGTACCCCTGCAAAGAAGTTGGCTGTGGCTTCACGATCTCCTTCAATTATTACTATGAACTTGATGTACTTCGATTTTCGAGATTTTTAATTCAGTTTTTATTTCAATTTTCCTCTGCTGGGCCAGTCGCCATTGATTATTCGTTGAGGATGTCTTTCTTATTATTTTTCATTTGCATTTATTTGAATGGAATTTATTTATCATACAGTGAGCTATTATTGATTGGAACGAATTGGTTGTTATTTGTTGTCGTTATGGTGGGGAGTGAGGACTTTTGATTAAACGGAGAAAGAAAATGTACCCTTTATGTTTGTCTAACGGATCACAGAATCTCGTGCTCCGATTTACCATGTATGACCTGTATTAATCCTAGGTATGTTAATGCAATTTATGTTTATGATGTAAAATGATGGCATTGAGCCTTTGATGAAAATCCATGGATGAATTTAAAGTTTTAGAGCCTTGAAGTGATCAAGTTTATGTATAAACTATGGTGAATGATCAATTACGTGAATAATGAGCTAGTAATTATACAACATTTATGCAATTTAAAACAAAATTTCCTGGTTGTTGTCACAATAGTAATCGGTTACTCGCTGTTAGTAACGGATTTCCTTAATTGGACAAGATGAGCATGGTTTAGTAAAATAGACATAACTTTAGCTAGGAAACTCCAAATTGAATGTAGTTTGGACCTATGTGAAGTTAACACATGGGGATACAACCCTATGAAATGTTAGAGTCATTGGATGAGAGGTCTAGTCCCAGATTAATTTTGAGTTCACTGCCCTATTTTTAGGAAGTCTGATTTGAAGCAGTTGGCTTGCGACGAACGTATCTTGAGTTATACAAGTCAAATTGAGACTTATAATATGTTGTTGGAAATATCAAGATGTCTAGTTTAACATAGTAAAATATCAAAATTTATGGTAAATAGTTATAGTCCCAATTTTAGAAAATGTGCGTGCTATTTAGTGCTGGTACAGTTCCAAGTATGATTTTTAACATGTTAGTCTATGGTGGTTACATGGTGAATGACTTAGAATATGTTCTATATGCTTTTAGGTTATGATATTACCTAATAAGATATTGTAAAATAAATATTGATGTTTCTGAATAATATAAGAATTACAATTAAAGTATTTGCTAGAATTGAATACGGAATTCAATAATTGTAATAAATGAAAAACTAAAAGAAAAAGTTTATTCACGTTTTTATATAAGTCTATTTATGAATCAATAAGTATAGTTTCTGCGTTTTATTTAATTAAATATGTTGCGTTTAATATCATTCTAATGTTAACAAATCGGTCTGAAATAGAGTGAGTGTTACAATGAGATTTTGCTTTGTGTGAGTGCATAAACTGTTTCGATCATAAAGAAATAAACTTAATTAAGACTTGTAGTTGAAGATTTATATTGTTTGAAATTGTAAAATAAGTGTAGACAATTTAAAGTGATAAAAATTATCACAATTTATTTAATTGTGAAAGTTAAAAATAATTGTGGATCACAATCACTGATGCAAGAATTGCACCGCGTGCAGTTAGAAATGCTTTTCTAGTCGATGACTATGATGCAATATTTTATTTGGTCACATCCAATGTTGTTAAAATCGAGATCTTAAGTAAAATCGGAAGGGAATTAAAAAATCGTAAAACGTAAAATCGTAATGTAAAAAAATCGTAAAAAATCATAAAAACGTAAAAGCGTTTGAAATATTAGTAAAATTGTTTTGATGAAAAAAATCGTAAAATCGTAGTGATAAATCGAAATTTTAACAACAATGATCACATCCCATGTGATTAAGATAATGATGATTATTTTATTTTTACTATATATTTAGGGGAAAGGTTATATACTAACAACATCTTTTTCTTATAACCTCTTGCAATTACTTTTATGGCTATTGAATCAAAAATAAATCAACTGGTTCTCATTTAATATCATTTATAATAGTTAATTTGTTTTTAATTCAAAAATCATAAAAAGAATTATAAAAGAAAACATGTTGGAAATATAATTTCTTTCTATATTTAGTGATTTTCACTTATAAACTCTGCTGCACGAACAAGCTTTTTGGAAGAAAAAAAAGTGTGTCGGACACCGATACGCGATCAATGCTTTCTGGCACTTTTTTTTTTTGTCTTTTTAACTAAACACGAAAAATTAATTTATAAATCAAATATTTTCTGTTATGAAATTTGACCTAAAAAATTAATTAGACATGAAAAATTATTTTTCTTTATATTTATGTCATGATATTTGAATATTTGATTGATTATATAATTTATTATGAGCTGCTATATGTATTAAATATAAACTATATTATATATATTAAAAATATTATTTAAGATCAAAACGTGTCCTAACGTGTCGAAATCTAATATTTTTTAAAATTAACATATCAACATGTTGTGTCGTATCGCATTTCATATCTCATATCGTTGTCGGTACAACATATCTTATCAATTAATTTTTTTCTACATATTTATTTTCATATTTTTTTGAGTATTATTTTGTAACCAAATGTATTTCAAAAATTGATTTAATTTATAAATAAATTAAGGATTTTGCCGGTCTTGACTTGATTTCAATTCACATACTAGCATATATTCTACGGTGTATATCTAATTGTTAAATTAATCACTTTAAATTGAAATTACAACATGTGGTAACTACTTACCTACAACATAAGAAAAGTATTTTCCTATGAAATTATAGGAAAATACTTTTCTTATGTTGTAGGTAAGTAGTTACCACATGTTGTAGAAATAAAATTATAAGTGAGATCCACAGATAAAAGGAGAGAGAAAAAAGAGTGGTGAGACCCGATCTTTTTGTGTGTGTATAAAAGTTATTTATCTCATGTAAAATGAGATAAACATAACCCATAATTATAATAGTTAAATTATTTTTTTTCACTCAGTCAGCCACTTTAGCCGACAATTTTTTGAGGAATGAAAAAATAAAATAGTTTTCATATTATAATTAGGGCTTTGTTAGTCTCATTTTACATATGATAGGTAATAAAAAATATTTTACCCATTTATTTCGAAATTTCATAATAAAAAAATTTATATGTAACTTCAGTGTACAAGAATTTTATATTAACATCCAATAAGATTTTGACTCATTATTATTAATTTTTTATTTTAATTAATAAAAACATGATATGATACAATAGCAAATAATGATATATCAAATATTAACAAATGCCCAAATATTTTATACACTGAAGTTACATATAAATTTTTTTATTATGAAATTTCGAAATAAATGGATAAAATATTTTTTATTTTTAATGAGTGTGACATTAAAAATAAAACGTTTGCAAAGATAATGAGTGTGACATTTTGTAAAAAACGTGTCTCAATACGATCGATATCCACAACAATGCATCATGATGTTTGTAGTAAGTATAATCTCTCCCAAAAACTTTTTAATATATTCATATACACAATTTAACATGTTGATATGTTGGTTCCTCCTATATAAGAAATAAAGTTAGATTTTTTATTAAAATATAATCAAATATAATTAAGTTATAAATAATTACAATTGATTAAATTTATATCTTTTGTTTTTTTTTCAAGTCATACTTATTCTATTTTATTTTATTTAAAATAAATAGTACAATATAGGCCGTCATGTAGGCTTATAGGCCAGGCCTTGTGAAAGTGGGCCTACGGCCTTTTCAATAAACAAGCTTTTTTTTCTTGTACTGCTACTATTTATGCTTTTAAGTTTTAGTATTCACTTGAAATTCAATATTTATGCTATCTATGTGAAGGCTCTATCAACAAGAAGCTCTGAAAATGGAGATAACCAATGTCACTGAGTAGGAGGCTATTGCAAAGCAGAAATTGCCAAAGATGGTGTTTGATTACTATGCATCTGGTGCTGAGGACCAGTGGTCTCTGCAAGAAAACAGAAATGCCTTTTCCAGAATTTTGTGAGATTTCCCCCTTAATATTTTACAGTAGTTAGTTACCAAACTAAGTTTCTTTATTGTGTTCCTTTGATGATCAACATCAACAACACCTTTATCTCAAACTAGTTGGGGTCTTGTGTTCCTTTGATAGTATCCTGAAAAATATGATTGACAAATACACAGGTTTCGGCCACGTATTCTTATCGATGTGAGCAAGATAGACATGGCAACTACTGTCCTGGGCTTCAAAATATCCATGCCAATCATGATTGCCCCAACAGCCATGCAGAAAATGGCTCATCCTGAGGGTATAATTGTTGTCCTTTTACATTCTCATAGATTAGTAAAATGCTAGATGACGTTGTGCAATATTGTCCATTTTGCCAAAAGGAAAGATTTCATGAGAAATGATGTATGATATGTTACTGTACTGGTGCCTGAAAGAGTAGGGAAATGATTACTAATACTTGATTTGTGTACAAAACTACCATTGAAATTGAGAACTTAAAAAGGTTGGTATTATTATGAGTGCAGAAAAGACATAGAAGATAATGCTCATACTTTCTAATAATTTGTTTGTTTGATGCGTGCACAGTTCTAATCCTAATCAGCTTCAGCTAGATAAAATCCTTGCAATTGAATTTACAGAGACCTTTTATGCATACTCACTAAATGACACATTCTAGAGAAACTAACAGAGACCTTTTATGCTCACATGTAGTGCCATCAACTAATGTCTTGATAGTCATAACTTGTTTTGTATTGCTTTTATGTGGCTCCATTTATTTGTTGCACGTAAGAGATTATACAGGACTCAAATACAGTAACATGAAATTTAAATTTGTTGACGTTTTTATATGGAATAGTTTAATTCCAAATCCCCTTACACAGCTAAACCAACTAACAAGAGCATGGTTTGTGTTGGATGATATATATAATATATTTTAATTTAACAAGAGTATCTGTTAGTTGCTGCCTTGTACATGATGCATTTGTTACTTCATGCAGAATATTTCATATTACAAGCACTCGATTAGCTTAAAAAGATTATATCCTTCTGAATTTATGTTTTGTTTATCATTGTGCCCATTGGGCTATGAGATAATATGCTCTAAGTTCTTTACTTATGAGTAGCCTTGTGGTTCTTTCAGACTTTGTCATCATGGGCTACTTCAAGTGTTGAAGAGGTGGCTTCAACAGGACCTGGCATTCGCTTTTTCCAGCTATATGTAAGCTTGAAAAGCTTTCTTTATAGTTCCATTTATTGTTCATTTGAATACATGGTGTAATAGGTTTCTTTTTCTTACATAATATGTTCTCCTATCATCATTTTCTTTAGGTGCACAAGGACAGGCATGTGGTTGCTCAGCTTGTGAGAAGAGCTGAAAGGGCTGGATTCAAAGCTATTGCCCTTACTGTTGATACCCCAAGACTAGGACGCAGAGAAGCTGATATCAAGAACAGGTACAACTCTTCAACCTTGTTATATCACTTTCTTAATGGATATGATTTGGTAAGTAAAATACTTATAAATTGTCTCTTACAGGTTCACTCTTCCACCTTTTTTGACATTGAAGAACTTTGAAGGTTTGGACCTTGGAAAGATGGACGAAGTAAGATCAGTTATTACAAATATTATTTATGAAGGTTTAATGTTCTTACCTTCATCACTAATTGAATTTGTTATCTTGGTCCTTTCAGGGTAATGATGCTGGACTTGCTTCATATGTTGCTGGTCAAATTGATCGTACTCTAAGCTGGAAGGTTTGTCAGATAATCAAACAAAGCATTTTTTTTCCATTTGTAGTTATTCAGTTCCTATAACAGGCAAGAATTTATTAAAGTGAAATCCAAGTGACAACAAATTTACTTGCCCAATTCATTGATTTGATTCATAAGTTGCACGCATGCTGACATTAGATAAAGAATACTCCTGCATCCCTCAAAGAAGAGTGCAGAGTAGTAAGTTCAATTTGATTAATATAAGTTTACATTTGATTTCTACATTATTTTTGTATATCTAATGAAATTTTCAAAGAGGGCAAGCCTAGAGCAGTGGTAAAACTGCTTCTTTGTGACTGAAAGGTCACATATCCGAATCTGGAAAACAGCTTCCTTGCATATATTTGCAAGGGTAAGTTCGTGTATAAGAATTGCTCTTATCCCAATCCTCGTTAGTTGGGGTTTAATCGGAAGTGGTTTTATCTATAAAATTTTCAAGGTTCCACTGACATCTAGATAATCTTTGTTAATTTTGTAGGATGTGCAGTGGCTTCAGACAATCACCAAGCTGCCAATTCTGGTGAAGGGTGTATTGACTGCTGAGGATAGTAAGGAAACCAAAAGCTGTTTTCATCTGTTCTCCCTCAATGAAATATTTAATTAATGCCTTATTCATGTTAATTTGGCAGCAAGGCTAGCAATACAAGCTGGTTCAGCTGGAATAATTGTGTCTAATCATGGAGCTAGACAACTTGATTATGTCCCAGCCACTATATCAGCCTTAGAAGAGGTACATCAAACTTCAATTTACATCTCAATTAACTTGAAACTTATACAAACCCAATTTTAAGGATCTTTATTTACTTTTGTTATTGAAACTTAGGTTGTTAAAGCTGCTCAAGGACGTGTTCCTGTATTTTTGGATGGTGGTGTACGCCGTGGAACTGATGTCTTCAAGGCATTGGCTCTAGGTGCTTCTGGCATATTTGTGAGTACATCATAACCTCTACCAAAAGCCTTTCTTTATAGGGTTTTATTAATCTTATATTAAAGGAGATAAATTATCTAATGTCATAGAGATAAATTTGTAGGCTCCACCACCTGAAAAATAAAAAGAAAATAAAAAATGTGACACAGTTATCAAAGGATATGTAGAAGAGAAAATTATCACATGTAACATAAGATAAGAGTAGTTTTTCCCTTTTTTATAATGGACTTCTCACATTTATTGTTAAGAGTCAACTACTAATAAATAGTAATAATAAATCTATAACTGTTTTGAACCAGTGAATTGGGCCTTTTATTCTTCCCATTCCCCGTTCCGGTTGCAGGACAAAATATCCATATAATAGAATGAGTAAGGATATTCTAACTACTAAAAATTCTTACTATTAACTTACTACTCATCACATCACCAATGGATCAAAGAGAGATAATGTTAAAAAGTTTTTGAAAAGAGAGAAAATGTTAATTTAATGATGATTAGATAGATAGTAAGTTGGTAGTGGAAAATTTTGGTAGTGAGAATATCCCTCTTCTAATAAAATATCTTCCCCTTTTCTCAGCATAACCACTTTTTCGAGAATTTCTTTAGTACTACTGTTGCACTGAGTTTTCAATGCTATTTCTATTCACAATATGATATATGTCCAAATTTTGTCATATCATCTTCTTACCTGGCATTAAAATAAATTATTTATTATTATTTTTTTCAAAATTTAAACACATCATATTTTAAGTGGAGGTAGCACTGAAAACTCAGTGCAAACAGTCACACCGAAGAAATTCTCCAATCTTTCACAACTACCTATATGTGTCACTTTCATGCCTTAAGACAATGACCTTTAGTGGTTTACTTATTGCACTCTCGCATACTCACCTCCCCGAGCATCTTAGCAATAAGCATTATGTAGGTCAACATATCACCACCCTTTCTCTTCCGTGTATACGGAAGAAACCACCACATTGCACCCTAGACTGACCATTATTGAGACTTGGTTCTTCCTATACCAGCCAGCCACTCTCATCAGACCACCTAATGAAACACCAATGATAAAAATTTAGGGCCGGGCATGGTTTGACCCGAATAAGTTTTTTCATTGAACCAAACCGAATAGATTTATACTGAATCGGTTCAAAGAACCGAACTGCTTCGAAATCGGAACCGGTTTATCTTTCAAAATCAGTTTATGATTTATAACCGGTTTCATACCCAATTCGTGTATGCAAACATGTTCTGAACTGATGTTTAAAATCAATTCTTTTAGTTCTTTTCAATTTTTAAATGGGAAATATTACTCTCCTTTTACATGAGGTAACTTATCTCATTTTCTCTCACTTCGATTTTCGCACTCCACTTTTTTCTGTTTTTTCTTTTTTCTTGTAATGGTGGGACCCACCCATTTTCTCTCTACCACATAAGATAACTATCTTATGTGGAAGGAGATTAATAAAACCCTTTTTAAATTGGTTTAATAAACTAGTTCGATTCTCAAAATTAGTTCAGAAAAATACGATTCGGTTATTTTGCACATCCCTTTAAACAATGCATGAGAAAAATAGTGTTACCAAAACAACCTCCTAGTTTTATTGTTATCTTAACTATATGTAAAGTATGGTTAACAAACTTTGCTCTATGTTAGATTGGACGCCCTGTGGTGTTCTCTTTGGCTGCTGAAGGAGAGGTTGGTGTAAGGAAAGTGCTGCAGATGCTACGTGACGAGTTTGAGTTAACCATGGCCTTAAGTGGTTGCCGCTCACTCAAGGAAATCACTCGTGATCACATTGTGACAGAATGGGACCTCCCTCGCACTCAACCACGTGTATCACCAAGATTATGAAAAGATCTTGCTCTTCATTTGAGCTAAGTGGTGCAGAACAATTAATGGGGAAACATTTTGTATGTCTCATTAACCTGTTCTCGTCCTTTCTTTTTCCTTTTTGGGAGAACTCATTTGATGTTATATTTGGAAAACTATATGCTTTCTTTGTAAGGATTGTATGATCTGATACTTTAGTAGCTACTATTGCTGCATTTCCTCATTTGTATATTGGTAGGGTTAAATGGTTGAGTAATATAAAAAAAAAATTTGTTGTTAGCCCCTTAATTTTTTTGTGTTGTTAGCCCCTTGCATGACCAATGCATAGAACTAAACTTTTTGTGATATCCATAGAATATTATAGTAAAACTTAGGGAAAAATTCACTAATGCCCTTTTAGTTTGCTTCAGAATTGTCTATGCCTCTGTAGATTTTTTTATATCACATATTGCCCTGTGGTTTGTAAAAAGTAAAAAATCACAAGGGCATGTGTGATAAAAACATACCCTTTTGCAAATCACGGGGACATATGTGATAAAAAAAATCATAAGGGCATAGGTGATTCTAAAGCAAACTACAGGAGCATTGGTGAATTTTTTCCTAAAATTCAAGGGAAATCGTTTCTCCTTTTTGGGGGCCATCTATCATTATATCTGCAGCAACGAAAATTTTCTCCTGTATAATACCGGATACTCATTGCATCATTTTGCAGCACAAGTTGTGATAATAAAGGGGTACGTTTTTTTTTATGCAATAGACAAAATTTTATAAACATTAAATAATAAGTATAAAAATTTAGGGATTTGTGATTTTACAATTAAAAATATCTATGGCATGTGTAAATATACACATTAATACCAAATACATCTAAGGGCTCGTTTGGTAGTTAAAATAGAAAGGACATGATATGTTAGGCTATTATATCCTGCTATTATTCATTGTTTGGTAAATCAACAGGATATGATAAGCTTAAGTTGTTGGCTCATTTTATTCTGCTTATAGTAGGATAAACTATCCTACTGGGGGACTCGAGTTATAAAGAACATGATATGATAACAAATGTCACATCCCTTTCTTTTCAAATATGGCCATATGTTTTTCTCATATAAATTTTGTTTGGCATGTGAGAGTCAGTCCTTGCCACCGACAAGCCGCCGCCATTGCTGGCCATCGGCCACCTCTATCCCCATGCACCAACCACCACCGCCACAACTAGCCACCACCACCATCACCGATTAGCCCTATAATTACATGCAACTTGCACCACCAGCGCTTCCGGCGCCACCACCACCACCACTTCCACCTGCCACCATTGCACCAACCACCACCACCGATGTCGTTCCCACTAGCTACCACCATTACCGTCATCAGCCACCACAATTGCCCTAGCGTCGCCTCCACCACCACTTTCACTGATCATCCCCACCTATCACCATCCAGGCAACATCTCATGTCACTGCCACCTCCAACCATCAGGCGCCAACCATCACTATCGCCACAACTACCATCATCCTTCCGCCATCACATTTATCACCGACCATTACTGGCGTCGTCACCACCTTTCATTGTCACCATCCCCCATAACTACCACCAACACTACCCACTGTCACTAGCCACCAGCCACTGATATTGACAAATAATTTTAAATAATTTTTAAAAATTTATATGGTGAGGGTGTATTTTTTTATTTTTAAATTTTTGTAAGTTATTTATGTATTTTAATATATTTAATTTAAAATTATGACTTTTAAATTTTTTGAATAATTTAAAATATAATTAATGTGTAAATAAATAAAAAACTGTTTAAAAATCAATGTTAAAAAACATATAAAATTATGTTTAAAAAGATATTTTGTTTATTTATATCATATCATGACACTATAGATTTGTCTCAAACACCGGATATGATAATATTATCTTATCATCAGATTGTTTATCTACTGCACATTAAACACATAATAAAATATGAGCTTATCAGCCCGATATCTTATCGTACTCTTATTTGGCACTCTTATCCTCTTTATTCCTATCATGTTCATGAAGGCAAAAAAATTTAATTATTGTATTTTAATTAAATAATTACGTATTTATTGCAGTTTTGGAAATAATTACGGATTTATTGCACAATGTGACGCCTTTTTTGGGCGTCACATGTGATGCCTCATTTAGGCGTCTCTCACCAAAGGGAAGACGCCCCATTGGGGTGTTGACACGTGTCATTTTTTTCCAAAAAAAATAATAATTTAATCATAAAAATTCTGAATGCTATAACTTTTGACTTGGGTATCCAATTCAGATAATTCGTTTTTTGATTCCACATAACTTTTCGAGATCTACGCAATGACATATTATTTGATATATTTTGTTTCTCACAAACATAATTTAAATTTAAATCAGGTAATCCTTCTTCCTTAGAGATTTAGAATATTTATTTAATTATTTTCTTTATTAATACAGTTTTTCAAATTGATTTTTGAGTTTAAATCACAAATCAAATCTTTATTTTGTTTTCCTTATTAATAATAATTGTTACTTTTAATTTAAATCACAAACCAAATTTTTTTTATAAAAAAAAGAAAAAATTTTATTTTTTAAATTAAATCACACATCAAATCTTGATTTATTTTTTATATTAAATCAAAAACTCAGAGACTTCATAAGCCATCATTAATTCCAGACCACGAATAATAACCCAGAAGCTTATAGCATTAATCATTAATTTCAAAAATAATATCCTTCTTCCTTAGAGATTTAGAATATTTATTTAATTGGAAAAAAAATTAATTTAATGTTTTTTAATAAAATAATTACACATTTATTACAGTTTTGGAAGTAATTACGGATCTATTTAAAAAATATTTTGTTTATTTCTACAGATTTTTCAAATTGTTTTTTTAGTTTAAATCACAAATCAAATCTTTATTTTGTTTTCCTTATTAATAATAATTTTTTATTTTTAATTTAAATCACGCACCAAATTTTTGTTATAATAAAAAAAATTATTATAAAAAAAATTAAATCACAAATCAAAATTTTATTTATTTTTTTATATTAAATCACAAACCCAGAACTCAGAGGCTTCTTGGTTTAACCGCTCTTATAATACCATTCTCACAAATTAAAATTGTGTTTGTGAGAAATAAAATATGTCAAATGAGATGTAATTGCGTAGATTTCGAAAAGTTATGTGGAATCAAAAAAAGAATTACCTGATTTAGATACTCGAGTCAAAAGTTATGGCCTTCAGAAGTTTTTTAATTAAATTAATTTTTTTTGAAAAAAATATGACACGTGTCAACACCTCATGAGAGACGCCACATTGGGGCGTCTTCCCTTAGGTGAGAGACGCCTAAATGAGGCGTCACCTGTTACGCCCAAAAAAGGCGTCACATTATGCAATAGATCCGTAATTATTTCCAAAATTACAACAAATGCGTAATTATTTAATTAAAATGCAATAATTAAATTTTTTTGCCTTTTCAAGAAACGAAACCTAAGGCATATGTGCATCAAAAATAAATCAACTGGTTCTCGTTTAATATCATTTATAATAGTTAATTTGTTTTTAATTCAAAAATCATAAAAAAAATTATAAGAGAAAACATGTTGGAAATATAATTTCTTTCTATATTTAGTGATTTTCACTTATAAACTCTCCTGCACGAACAAGCTTTTTGAAAAAAAAAAAAGTGTGTCGGACACCGATACGCGATCAATGCTTTCTTATGTTGTAGGTAAGTAGTTACCACATGTTGTAGAAATAAAATCATAAGTGAGATCCACAGATAAAAGGAGAGAGAAAAAAAACATGTCTTAGTGGTGAGACCCGATCTTTTTGTGTGTGTATAAAAGTTATTTATCTCATGTAAAATGAGATAAACATAACCCATAATTATAATAGTTAAATTATTTTTTTTCACTCAGTCAGCCACATTAGCCGACAATTTTTTGAGGAATGAAAAAATAAAATAGTTTTCATATTATAATTAGGGCTTTGTTAGTCTCATTTTACATAAGATAGGTAATAAAAAAAATTTATATGTAACTTCAGTGTACAAGAATTTTATATTAACATCCAATAAGATTTTGACTCATTATTGTTAATTTTTTATTTTAATTAATAAAAACATGATATGATACAATAGCAAATAATGATATATCAAATATTAACAAATGCCCAAATATTTTATACAAATATCAAATACCAAATACCAAATACCAATTAAAAGGATTTGATATTTGTTAATATTTTTGATACAATTTTTAAAAAAAGTTAAAAAAATGCAGAGAGACATACATCCAACATGCCGCATCTAAATTTTTTGATTTTTTAATTCAGGGAAAAACAAAAAATCTAAAAGGTTTTGGATATAAAAGTTGGCAAATGTTGGGTGTTGATTGTTAGAGAAAAGGAAATGGGGGACAGAAACAGAAAGCAAGCGACAAAAGAAAATTAAAATATCAAATCCTTTTAATTGGTATTTGACATTTGCAATTGCGGAGCCACACGTAGTAATGTAGGTGTGACTTCGGTTTAGGTTAAATTTTAATAAATTGTATTTAATATATATAATTATTTAATTAATTATAATTTGGCTCGAATTAAAATTATAATTTGGCCTCGGTTACAATTTGTAATTTGACCTTATGTAAAATTTAAACTATTTTTGGTGAAAGATTTGGGTAAGTTATATTAGATTACGTGTCTAATTTTTATTTGTATAAAAATATATATTAATTTTTAGTAAAATTAATAAATATTCAATAAAATTATAACTCTTCTTAATACTACTTGCATAGGTATTTTGTATTTAATATAATTTAAATATATTTAATATGAACTAATTAAAATTAAAAAAATAATATACATATAATTTTTTAGTCCGAACTCAAATTGGAACCTGTTTCCACCACTGGATATTTGTATAAAATATTTGAGCATTTGTTAATATTTGATATATCATTATTTGCTATTGTATCGTATCATGTTTTTATGGTTATGTTGCCTAGCTATTTAATATTCCTACTTTTATTATTTTTTTATCACCTTCGATCAAATTTAAATTAACGATTAAAAGAAAGAGAAATAATAAGGTGAGAAAAAGAAAGAAATAAAAACAAAAACAAAAAATTATTATATATGAGATTGTTGATTTAAATTGGATCAAACAGTGATAAAAAAAGTAATAAAGAAATTTAGTATCCTGATAGATTTGCAAAGCTAACGTGTCTGTCTCAATACGATCGATATCTACAACAACGCGTTGGCAATAGTATCCTGATAGATTTATTTAGGTCAAAATTAATAGTATCCTGATAGATTTATTTAGGTCAAAATTAATAGTATCCTGATAGATTTATTTAGGTAAAAATTAATAGTATCCTGATAGATTTATTTAAGTCATTAATAGTATCCTGATAGATTTATTTAGGTAAAAATTAATAGTATCTTGATAGATTTATTTAAAAGCCCAATACCGAATTCTAAAACAATTTTTATTAGAATATCCTGATAGATTTATTTAGGTCAAAATTTTGAAATATAGACCTATATAGGTCAAAAAGCCCGATACCGAATTCTAAAACAATTTTTATAAATTCTAATCGAACGGCACAGCACAGCACAGCACATGAATTCTTTGATTAAAATTTCAATCCCATACATTGGCTTAAACTGATTCTAGGGTTTCTGCACCAAAACTCTGCGTTTCATTGAATTTCATTGATTTTCATCCAAATCAACAATGGGCAAAAGGAAAGCAAAGGATCCGCAACAAACCCCTCAAAGCAATGGACTCCGTTTCATCTCTTTTATTTTCAACACGCTCTTTGGCAACACGCTCTTTGCCACCGCTTCTCTATTTTCCGATTTCAACCCCTTTCGTAGAAAGCCTCAACAACATGCTTCGGTTTCTTACCCAACCATTCCCTCTCAAAGCCCTAACAATGGCGGCTCCGGGAGCCACGATTCCGGCGGTTGAATGTTTGCTTTCGTTTGGTACTCTTTAAGGCTTCGATATATATTTTTTTTTTTTGGGTGCTAAATTTATGTTTGTTACTTTTCTTGATGAACCAGACCAAAAAACCTAGGAAGGGAGCCATCCATTCGAAGAAAATAAATGATTCCGCTGATAGGTAATGGGTCTGAATTGAACAATTATCGAATTGCAACTTCCTGTGATTATTGTTAATTGCTTGCAGAGAGAATGCTGTTATTTTTTTTTTTTTTTGTCATTTTAGTGTGATTTTATGGATTCAATATCAAGTAAGCCTGCTCGTTTTGGGCTTGGAGAAATTATTCTGCTTTGATTTAATGCTTAGATTTTATATTTTCCAATGGTCTTAAGTGACTTGCAGACAGTCTGATAAGAATACATTCATTTTCATGCATAGGAAGCCTTTTTCAGGCATTTCTAATTGACAAATATTGTGTTTTGCAGTGTTCACGCATACATTGTTTTCAAGACAGAGGAATCTGCTCAGGCTTCTTTGTCCCACAACATGACTGTGGTATGCCCTTGTTCCTCTGAGTTGGGTTGGATCAAATATGGTGTTTGCTTTGTATTTTTGGTGAAGACTGCAGTTGACAGTTTTCTAATACTATTGTTTAATTATCTGACTGTAGGTTGAAGGAAATCACATTCGTGTTGATAGGGCTTGCCCACCCCGCAAGAAACATAAAGTGAAGATTGCTTCGCTTTATGATAACAAGAGAACTGTTTTTGTGGGCAACCTCCCATTTGATGTTAAGGTGTGTTTCCAATCAATGGATTTATTTTTGCGGTCACATAACCACATCATTTCTGTGTGTGTATTGTCTAATGGATCTCACGTATCTTTTTGTGTAGGATGAAGAACTATATCAGTTATTTTGTGGTATATCCAACCTGGAATCAAGTATAGAAGCTGTTAGAGTCATTAGAGATCCTCATCTTAATGTTGGAAAGGGTATTGCCTATGTGCTGTTTAAAACAAGGGTATGCTGCTTTGGTGCCAGATTAGTTATGCATTTTGATAAAATTTCTTACTTTGTGCTCTTTTACATTTTTAGCTCAAACATGTTATAATTCATCTTGTCATGTTTTTCCCTTTCGGTGGTAAAACTAAAGGGCTGTTTGTGGCTGATAAGCCCATGAAGACCTCGTTTTGTTACGTAGAAACCAACTTATTTGTGTGATTACTTTTAGAAATGCATGTTATCTATTTATGAAAAGATATATTTTGTGATATAAATATAATCTAGAACATTAGGATATAATCTAGAACATTAGGATTGAAATGGGCGGTTGCTAGTGTAGGGTTTGTTTACTTTGGTGTAGATTGGCTGCTTCGTTTATTGTATTGTGTCTTTTTGTGTAACTAGGTACATGTTATTTTTGGAAGTTGCTTCTTTCATTCAGAATATAAGTGGTTAGAGACTGATATGTATAGGACTGAATTTCTGTAATTGTCGAGTGAAGCTGCATATCACACTTTTTAAGTCCACATGTGGGCTTGAAAATCTGATTCAGGTCCTGGGTACCAATGTCTGGCTATTTCAGTCCACATTGTTGAAAACTCTCTCAGATTTGACAATACTTTACCTTTAGATTTAAGAATGATGCCTCTAGGACATTTTCTTATGATGAAGAAACCTTTTAAACTGCGAAATTAGTGATGGTGCACTTGCAGTGCATGGGCTGAAACCGCTGGAACCATTAGTTCTTTCTTTATTCTGTATTGGGTATAAATTCTACTTGCTTTATGGTGACTTTATATATATAAATATATAACGTGTTTTTTAATTTCTAAGCTAATGGTTGCAAAATGATTTTCCTTTTCTTTTTCATTTGGGTTCTTTCACCTCCGACCCCCACTAATTTGAGATAAATTTGTTTTTGATGTTGATGTTGGAGGACTTTTTTTTCTATCTACCATTATACAGAAGGTTTGGTATTAAAGTTGTGCCTGTGTATTCTTGCTCCTCAGTGCTGGACTGTTTGTAAATACTGCACGTATTGTTTAAAATTTGATTGTACAATTAAGAGAAAAAAATTCCATGAGAAAAACTGGTTACTAATTTCCAAATAAGCATGAATTTCAAACTGGTTAAATGAGAAAAACTACTGACTTGTGATATTTTTTATGCAATTAATTATTCTTTGCTTTGCATAATGAATTCCTGAAGGTATTACTGGCATAAAACCATATGGTATTGATATGCAAATTGGTGTTTGACTGGATCTAATTTGAGACATCTTAGATTGTTATCATCAAAGGAAATGTTATCACGTGCAAAAAGTGGCATAAAGAATGTTCAAAAACTTCTTTCCAAGTCTTATCACCAGGAATTCTGTCTATAAATATTTATTAAAGTTGTGTCTTGTAAATGCAGGAAGCTGCTAATTTTGCTGTTAAGAAACGGAACTTGAAGCTTCGAGACCGAAAGTTGAAAATCTGTCATGCGAGAATCTGTCGTGCCAAAGCGGATGCCACCCCATCTAAAAGGCCAAACCCATCACCAGCTCCTAGTACCCCTGCAAAGAAGTTGGCTGTGGCTTCACGATCTCCTTCCAACAGTAATAACAAGTCAAACAAAAAAACTAATGCATCTTATCAAGGTCTGCGTGCAACCAAATCTGATATCAACAAGAAAGTTCATGGGAGAGAAAAACGAAAAGAGCGCATGACGAAAAGGGCAGCAGTAGCTGCGAAAAAGGCTAAAGCAAAATTGTTCAAGGATGGTGGTACACCAAAACAAGCAGGGGTAAAACGCAAGCTTGATAGGCGTACTCCAGATAGCTCCCTACGAAATAAGAAGGGTGGTACACCAAAACAAGCAGGGGTAAAACGCAAGCTTGATAGTCGTACTCCAGATAGCTCCCTACGAAATAAGAAGGCCAAGAAGAATAACAGATAGCGTGTTCCTAATGGTATCAGGCCAAGAACGTCTGATGCTTTATGTCTCAAAGATGATTCCTGCATCTGATAAGGGTAGGTTCTATGCTTTTGGCAGCATCTTTTCAGGGAAGGTTTCAACTGGTATGAAGGTCAAATTATGCGACCAAATTATGTCCCTGGGGAGAAGAAAAACCTGTATGTGAAGAGTGTTCAAAGAACTGTCATTTGGATGGGAAAGAATCAAGAAATCATTGATGATGTCCCTTGTGGAAATACAGCTGCCATGGTGGGTTTGGATCAATTTATTACCAAGAATGCTACTTTAACAAATGAGGGATATGTAATAATATAATATAGGATGCTTTTATTGGGATTATATCTTTTGTTTTTTTTTCAAGCCATACTTATTCTATTTTATTTTATTTAAAATAAATAGTACAATATAGGCCGGCCTTTAAGTTCAATGAAACTGGAGTGCAGGCTTTCCCACAGATGGTATTTGATCACTGGAATATGGTTCCATCTGATCCACTGGAACCTGGGACACCTGCTGCTGCATATGTTGCTGTGATTCGGAAGATGAAAGGCTTGAAGGAACAAATGATGCCTCTCTGAGTTCGAGGACAGGCTTTGAAGTATCAATAAGCCTTAAATAAAACTAACGTTGTATGTTTGTAATTGTAGTTTTATATTTCAGTTTGCTACTTCTCTTGTTGTTATCTTAATGTCAATTTCGGTAGTCTTCTAATTTCTTTTCCGGAAAAAAAAAAATATTATTACTGGTAAAAAAATATTTTCAGTATAAGAATGATTAATAATTAAGGTAACAAATTTACTATTAAACTAAAAAAGAATTAAGAATTTCTTTAATAAATTTTATATTTTCCCCCCAATATGTGCTTATAATAAGATGTATGTGGTTCATTTCACAAAAAAAAGAAAAAAGAGAGAAGTAAAGAAGGCATTTTGGAGAACCTTAACATCCATACTTCAACAAAAACATGAGTTCCAAAACCAATGCTGCCAGGCAATTTGAAGAACAAGTAGTCATCATTATTGTCATGCCATATTGGCCTGTTATCGAGTCACTTAAATTCAATGAATCACTGAGGGCTCAAACTGGAGGATAAGCTTTCCCACAGTTGGTATTTGACCATTGGGATATGGTGCCATCTGATCCATTGGAACCTGGTACACCTGCTGCTGCACTTGTTGCTGAGATAAGAAAGAAGAAAGGCTTGAAGGAACAAATGATGCCTCTATCTGTGTTTGAGGAAAGGCTTTGAAGTATCAATAAGTTTAGGAACAAATTTCGAATATATATATATCAATAACATTCGTTTACTGTTTTTCCTTTTCTTTTTTTTTTCAAACTGTATAAGGACTGAAACCTTATGTTGCAAAGATTTTAAATGTAATGGTACTGTCCTATACTCTATCAATAGTTTTTCTTTTTCTTTTTTCTTTTTATTATACAATTTTATATTTCAATTTTGCATCTTGTTTCCCCCTCATTGATTAGATTTTGGGAGCGAGTTCTCCCAACTTTTTGTATGACAAGTACCTTAAGAAATATATTTAAAATACTTGAAGCTTTAGTATAATAACCTCACTTTTACTCAAATATATGGACCAGAGAATCAAGGCATACTCAAAGAAAATGAAATTCTAAATCACCAAGACCAATTTTTTCAGAGAAAATATATTTACAACTTCATTCGCAGAACCTCAAAAATAGACAGATGTTGGAGACCCTGCTGCATATCTAATTTTGTAGAAGATAGCTCCTACTTGGAAATTGCCAAACATCATGAAATGTGCATGCAATCAGCATATGGTGCTAGTCAACCTCCTACTGGATCAGATCAACAGATCAGTCCAAATTTGCTGTTAGAGCAGTTAAAGACGTCTTCTGAGAATCAATAGAAAATCAAAATCTTGATATAACCTGCAAATTCAAATGCTCTTTTTTAAGTTCACAGGAATACTCCTCTAAGTCAAAACAGCATATAAAACAAAGGTGAGAATAGGATCCACAGTGAATCACGGATATTGAATGGTCAACTACCACAAGACTAGATGACCTGATTATGACAAGTTGCATAACATAGCAGAATGAACTTGCCTCAGTTATCAGTGGCTTTGCATGTTCTTCCCATTCAGTAGCCCACCTTGCAGAAGAACCAGTTTCTAATGCACCATATTTGAGGACCTTCAAAGCATCACATTCATCAGGAAATCCCTTGAGGAGCATCTGTGTAGATTCAGCAAGACAGCAAATTAGTATGCTCAAGATTAGACATTTAGACTGTCTACCTTATGAATCAAGAATTTTTAACAGATAAAACAATCTGGAAAAAGTAATCCACATGTCAAATTGGGGAGTGGAAGATATAATGTCAATCTGCATCTAATATCTTTATGGATCACAAGAATGGAAAAACTCAAAGCCAACAAATGGCTAAGAGTGATCATTTTAGTGTCTTTAATAATATCTTTCATAATTCATACAACCATGATGAGTGGTTCAGTTGGTAAATTGAGCTCTTGGTAGACAGCCTATACCTGCAGTGTAGGAATTTGAAACCCACTAGAAGCACCTTGTGGCCAGAGCCAAGTTGATACGTGGACAAATTGCACTTTTTGCACACAAGTTCTTAAAAGGGTATCATTTGTGTCTAGATGCTCTATCTTATGGTATCAAATTTGAGACAGCATATTCTACAAGAACAAGATACTAAGCATATAAAAATCAATAGGCTGTTCCACACTCCGCGACCTTTTACAAAAATGTCCTTAAAAATACATGATATTGTAATGAACAACTCTGCTTATTATTGATGTCTCAAGTTCAAAGAGATTGTGCATTATCCAGCAAATATTGTACATGTAATCATTAACAAACTTACCAGAAGTTCATCGGCTAGCTCTGAAGATGTAGAGAAGAGAAGACCATTTTTGTCAACTCTAACTAGTTCTTTAATGCTTCAAGAAAGTAAAAAAAATTACCAATAAATGAAAAGAACATACTGTTGAATTTCAGAACAAATCACAAGCAAGTTTTGGAGGAAGTACATAGCATATACACTACATAACTTACCAAGAGTATTAAACGGCACAAACAGGCAGTCCACATCCAAACATATCAACAACCTGGTGCAGTTAAAGCGGAAAAATTTAGAAATAAACAGAAAATGAATAAAGTGCCATAAGAAACCAAACCAAGATTTGACTTGAACTCCTCCCATGTGAAGAATTAACTGAAAAAAGAAAGGCTCAAACAGCTCAACGGGAAGAAACAGGAGCAGCCTTAACCCACTCAACAAAAAAAAATTAAGTTAGCCAGCACATGCATACAATTTACAAGAACTGGCACAAGACATTTTCTTAAGAATAATGAGGAATGGATCCAAAATTAGACTGAACATATAGAGATACTCTAATGAAGCACTCAAGCACATTATTTCAGAATAAAAAATAAGTTCTTTTGAAGATATAGTGAGGGAATTTCAAAAGTTTTATAACATAGGAATACCAACGTAAGCAACATGATATTTATTACAGTTTCATGGCTAAGAAGCTTATGGGTGCAATGTGGCTAAATGATACAAAAGATTACACATAGGAAGGTTATCAAAATAACAATGTAAAAAAAATTGCTAATAGCGTATCTTTGTTTGTACATTGACATATAACAATGGATACCTTCATGGGAAGGTCTAATCCCGATGATGAAGTATGCAAACAAACTCCTAGATCAGCCGATCCTGAAATTACCCAAAACTGTTAATATCAAATAATTCAACACAGTGCAAGACAATTTTTAAAATAAAAGAGAAAACAAAATACCTAGCAATAATGGATAATCTTCAGCAGATAGCCACATGGTACGAAATGCCACACGTTTAAGTTTCAATCTCTTTATTTTTGCCTCGTACTTTTCTTTTTCAGGACCTTTACCTTTTTCAATGAAGATCTATTGTTAAAACATTCTAAACGTTTCACAATATTTCAGAAGTATAAAACACAAATTATACCAGTAATGATGAATAACAATCTGGGATATAAACATTGTTTTCCATCGGATATTTCTTTCCAGATGACCTCCTCGTCTAATGAATCATCTTCACCTAATATAGCAGCAACACGTCTGTCATACATTACAGCAGCTTCCAAGAGAATGCCAAAATCTTCATCGGGAGTCCTGAAAGTGGCACAAACCACAGAAATAAATCACTCAAGTCTGGTAAAGTAGCCCGCTAATATAAATTGAGATTATCATAGTCAATAGAGAATTACTCTCTCTCTTTCTTTTTTGTTGTTCAGTTTTTTTCCCCCACAGAATATCAATCTAACTAACTTCATAATATGCATCAAAAAAAGGATGTGGCCATTGTTAAAAGAATAAAAAGCAAGCTTAACATAATTAATGAAAGTTAACTTTATCTCACATTGAAGCAGAAACTGTATCGTACCAAGGTTTACAACAAAGAAGAATACAAACAAGTAAAATTAAAACATGCATACCTACCATTTCAATGCTACCAAAGGATGCACTTCGTGAGGATGAACTTACCAGCTCGTACTGCTTACAACAAGTGCCGGCCTGTTTGGCTTCAAATATATGTTTGAACCAACCTCCGTTGTAAACACAGTCTCATTTTGGGGATGACTACCCATCAATGGATTTCCTTTAAGAAGCAAACACATTAAAAAGTAATATGCCAATGACTAAGAATAATATATATCTAGATTGTAAAACCTATCTTACCATTACTAACGCAATCTCTAACACCAAGAGGCCGACAAAAGTCCTCATTTAATCTACAAAACAACTACAAGCTATCCACATTATATATGAAAATCTTTAAGAATGCTTGATAAGCAATGAGTTACTAGTCAACTAAACAACTAGATCACCTTATGCTTCTCCTCCAGCGAAGCTGGGTGAAAGAAGTCAGGAGACTGATCATACAAAACCGTAGCACTATAAAATTAAGAAATAAACATCAGATTGCTTCACAGTTCACAGCAAATATTTTATGTTATAGAAACAATATATTTGAACCTTTAGCTGACTCTCTTACTTAATTCCCCAGTTTTGAGCCAATTCATGCTGCATTGCTCTTGTGGTGAGACCCGATCTTTTTGTGTGTGTATAAAAGTTATTTATCTCATGTAAAATGAGATAAACATAACCCATAATTATAATAGTTAAATTATTTTTTTTCACTCAGTCAGCCACATTAGCCGACAATTTTTTGAGGAATGAAAAAATAAAATAGTTTTCATATTATAATTAGGGCTTTGTTAGTCTCATTTTACATATGATAGGTAATAAAAAAAATTTATATGTAACTTCAGTGTACAAGAATTTTATATTAACATCCAATAAGATTTTGACTCATTATTATTAATTTTTTATTTTAATTAATAAAAACATGATATGATACAATAGCAAATAATGATATATCAAATATTAACAAATGCCCAAATATTTTATACAAATATCAAATACCAAATACCAATTAAAAGGATTTGATATTTGTTAATATTTTTGATACAATTTTTAAAAAAAGTTAAAAAAATGCAGAGAGACATACATCCAACATGCCGCATCTAAAATTTTTGATTTTTTAATTCAGGAAAAAACAAAAAATCTAAAAGGTTTTGGATATAAAAGTTGGCAAATGTTGGGTGTTGATTGTTAGAGAAAAGGAAATGGGGGACAGAAACAGAAAGCAAGCGACAAAAGAAAATTAAAATATCAAATCCTTTTAATTGGTATTTGACATTTGCAATTGCGGAGCCACATGTAGTAATGTAGGTGTGACTTCGGTTTAGGTTAAATTTTAATAAATTGTATTTAATATATATAATTATTTAATTAATTATAATTTGGCTCGAATTAAAATTATAATTTGGCCCGGGTTACAATTTGTAATTTGACCTTATGTAAAATTTAAACTATTTTTGGTGAAAGATTTGGGTAAGTTATATTAGATTATGTGTCTAATTTTTATTTGTATAAAAATATATATTAATTTTTAGTAAAATTAATAAATATTCAATAAAATTATAACTCTTCTTAATACTACTTGCTTAGGTATTTTGTATTTAATATAATTTAAATATATTTAATATGAACTAATTAAAATTAAAAAAATAATATACATATAATTTTTTAGTCCGAACTCAAATTGGAACCTGATTCCACCACTGGATATTTGTATAAAATATTTGAGCATTTGTTAATATTTGATATATCATTATTTGCTATTGTATCGTATCATGTTTTTATGGTTATGTTGCCTAGCTATTTAATTTTCCTACTTTTATTATTTTTTTATCACCTTCGATCAAATTTAAATTAACGATTGAAAGAAAGAGAAATAATAAGGTGAGAAAAAGAAAGAAATAAAAACAAAAACAAAAAATTATTATATATGAGATTGTTGATTTAAATTGGATCAAACAGTGATAAAAAAAGTAATAAAGAAATTTAGTATCCTGATAGATTTGCAAAGCTAACGTGTGTGTCTCAATACGATCGATATCTACAACAACGCGTTGGCAATAGTATCCTGATAGATTTATTTAGGTCAAAATTAATAGTATCCTGATAGATTTATTTAGGTCAAAATTAATAGTATCCTGATAGATTTATTTAGGTCAAAATTAATAGTATCCTGATAGATTTATTTAGGTAAAAATTAATAGTATCCTGATAGATTTATTTAGGTAAAAATTAATAGTATCCTGATAGATTTATTTAGGTCTAAATTAATAGTATCCTGATAGATTTATTTAAGTCAAAATCAATAGTATCCTGATAGATTTATTTAGGTAAAAATTAATAGTATCCTGATAGATTTATTTAGGTCTAAATTAATAGTATCCTGATAGATTTATTTAGGTCAAAATTTTGAAATATAGACCTACATAGGTCAAAAAGCCCAATACCGAATTCTAAAACAATTTTTATTAGAATATCCTGATAGATTTATTTAGGTCAAAATTTTGAAATATAGACCTACATAGGTCAAAAAGCCCAATACCGAATTCTAAAACAATTTTTATAAATTCTAATCGAACGGCACAGCACAGCACAACACATGAATTCTTTGATTAAAATTTCAATCCCATACATTGGCTTAAACTGATTCTAGGGTTTCTGCACCAAAACTCTGCGTTTCATTGAATTTCATTGATTTTCAATGGGCAAAAAGAAAGCAAAGGATCCGCAACAAACCCCTCAAAGCAATGGACTCCGTTTCATCTCTTTTATTTTCAACACGCTCTTTGGCAACACGCTCTTTGCCACCGCTTCTCTATTTTCCGATTTCAACCCCTTTCGTAGAAAGCCTCAACAACATGCTTCGGTTTCTTACCCAACCATTCCCTCTCAAAGCCCTAACAATGGCGGCTCCGGGAGCCACGATTCCGGCGAAGATAAAAAGAGGAAGAGGAAGAATAACAAGACTCTTTAAGGCTTCGATATATTTTTATTTTTTTGGGTGCTAAATTTATGTTTGTTACTTTTCTTGATGAACCAGACCAAAAAACCTAGGAAGGGAGCCATCCATTCGAAGAAAATAAATGATTCCGCTGATAGGTAATGGGTCTGAATTGAACAATTATCGAATTGCAACTTCCTGTGATTATTGTTAATTGCTTGCAGAGAGAATGCTGTTATTTTTTATTTTTTTGTCATTTTAGTGTGATTTTATGGATTCAATATCAAGTAAGCCTGCTCGTTTTGGGCTTGGAGAAATTATTCTGCTTTGATTTAATGCTTAGATTTTATATTTTCCAATGGTCTTAAGTGACTTGCAGACAGTCTGATAAGAATACATTCATTTTCATGCACAGGAAGCCTTTTTCAGGCATTTCTAATTGACAAATATTGTGTTTTGCAGTGTTCACGCATACATTGTTTTCAAGACAGAGGAATCTGCTCAGGCTTCTTTGTCCCACAACATGACTGTGGTATGCCCTTGTTCCTCTGAGTTGGGTTGGATCAAATATGGTGTTTGCTTTGTATTTTTGGTGAAGACTGCAGTTGACAGTTTTCTAATACTATTGTTTAATTATCTGACTGTAGGTTGAAGGAAATCACATTCGTGTTGATAGGGCTTGCCCACCCCGCAAGAAACATAAAGTGAAGATTGCTTCGCTTTATGATAACAAGAGAACTGTTTTTGTGGGCAACCTCCCATTTGATGTTAAGGTGTGTTTCCAATCAATGGATTTATTTTTGCGGTCACATAACCACATCATTTCTGTGTGTGTATTGTCTAATGGATCTCACGTATCTTTTTGTGTAGGATGAAGAACTATATCAGTTATTTTGTGGTATATCCAACCTGGAATCAAGTATAGAAGCTGTTAGAGTCATTAGAGATCCTCATCTTAATGTTGGAAAGGGTATTGCCTATGTGCTGTTTAAAACAAGGGTATGCTGCTTTGGTGCCAGATTAGTTATGCATTTTGATAAAATTTCTTACTTTGTGCTCTTTTACATTTTTAGCTCAAACATGTTATAATTCATCTTGTCATGTTTTTCCCTTTCGGTGGTAAAACTAAAGGGCTGTTTGTGGCTGATAAGCCCATGAAGACCTCGTTTTGTTACGTAGAAACCAACTTATTTGTGTGATTACTTTTAGAAATGCATGTTATCTATTTATGAAAAGATATATTTTGTGATATAAATATAATCTAGAACATTAGGATTGAAATGGGCGGTTGCTAGTGTAGGGTTTGTTTACTTTGGTGTAGATTGGCTGCTTCGTTTATTGTATTGTGTCTTTTTGTGTAACTAGGTACATGTTATTTTTGGAAGTTGCTTCTTTCATTCAGAATATAAGTGGTTAGAGACTGATATGTATAGGACTGAATTTCTGTAATGGTTGAGTGAAGCTGCATATCACACTTTTTAAGTCCACATGTGGGCTTGAAAATCTGATTCAGGTCCTGGGTACCAATGTCTGGCTATTTCAGTCCACATTGTTGAAAACTCTCTCAGATTTGACAATACTTTACCTTTAGATTTAAGAATGATGCCTCTAGGACATTTTCTTATGATGAAGAAACCTTTTAAACTGCGAAATTAGTGATGGTGCACTTGCAGTGCATGGGCTGAAACCGCTGGAACCATTAGTTCTTTCTTTATTCTGTATTGGGAATAAATTCTACTTGCTTTATGGTGACTTTATATATATAAATATATAACGTGTTTTTTAATTTCTAAGCTAATGGTTGCAAAATGATTTTCCTTTTCTTTTTCATTTGGGTTCTTTCACCTCCGACCCCCACTAATTTGAGATAAATTTGTTTTTGATGTTGATGTTGGAGGACTTTTTTTTCTATC